ACTGTTTATATAATAGATTATATCACTGTTTACTTGTGGCGTCCCTGGACATCCCCTGTAGCCATTTTGTACTGACTCATAGTCTCCAGGCCTACTTGCCTTATACTGGAAATCCTCATCAAAGCCCTGTTGTCTGAACATGAACAAACAGGCCCTCACAGATTCCCTACATAGATATAAACATCTTTAATTTTGTTAAATGTTGCCAATATTATCTCCAAAATAGCCATCTTAAATTTCACTTTAACAAAGAGCTTAAGATTTTTTTCAACACCTGTAATCTCATGACTCAAGATGGTAAGGCAGGAGGATAAACTGTTCAAGACCAGCCTGAACTTCCTGAGCTATGCAGGGAGACCCTGTATAAAAAATAAATTTTCAAAATCCTTAAGAACATATAGCATTTCATTTGAAAAAAAATAATTGTTATTAAAAATATGTAGCAAGTGGTGTTACACTAATATGCATATGCATCCCCTGAGTAGTGTGACATAATTTTTTTTTTTTTTTGGACAGGGTCTCCCTTAGCTCCAGCTTGCCTGGAACTCATTGTGTAGACCACATAGACCCACATACCTCTGCCTCCCAAGTGTTGGGACTAAAGGCATGAGCCACCACACCTATCATGTGACATTATCTTTGTTATTTGTTGAGTTTGCTGTTTGCTGTCTTGGGATTTGCTTGTATACATTACATACATTTCCTTTTCTGTTTTTCTTCTTCTTAGAACATGTTCTAGTTTGCCTTCAATTGCTGTGACAAAACACTCTGACCAATACCAAATTAGGGAGGAAAGGGTTATTTGACTCACGTATCCCAGGTCACAGTTCATCACTGGGGGAGCCCAAGGTAGGAACTCAGGGCAGGAACCTGGAGGCAAGAGCTGAAACACAGGTGGTAGAGGAACACTTTACTGGCTTGCTCCTCTGGCCCCTGCTCAACCTGCTTTCTTATATAATACAGGACCACCTGCCCAGGGGTGGCTCTACCCACAGTCAGCTAGGTCCTAACACATCACTCAACAATCAAGAAATGCCCCACAGACATAACCACAGGCCAGTCCTATGGAGGTGATTCCAGTTGTGGCTCTGTCTACCCAGGTGTGTCAAATTGACAACTAAAGCTATCCAGTACAATTGACCCCTTGTCAACTTGACACACAAACACATCACTACTAAATTACAACTTTTCCATTTCTTGTCCCCAAGATATGTTAACAATATCACAACACAAGAAAAAGTCCCACAATCCTTAAAAACAATTCAGACACTTAAAAGTCCATAGTGTCTTTTAAAAGTCTCTTAACTGTGGGCCCCTGTAAAATCCAAAACAAGTACTGTCTTATTTCAAAAGGGAAGAACTGGACACACCTAAGCAAATTCTAAGTCCAGTAAAGTAGCTCAAGGCTGGACATCTGGGATTCACTCATGATCTTCTGGGCTCCAAAGGGTTTCTGGCAGCTCCACTTCTCTGGATCTGCCATCCACAGCACACACAGCTTGTCTCACAGGCCCAGGCTCCATTCCACACCTGCTGTTGCTCTTGGCGGTTGTCCCATGGTCCTGGCATCTCTGAAACGCTGGGGTCTCCACTGAAAGTGAGGCTGCACCTTCACCAATGGCCTCTTCTGGCTTCTTGGGGTGCAAAGTCTCAGATTCTCTCCATGACCCCTTCAATCCTGGGGTCTTCACTGCAACTGAGGCTGCACTTTCACTAAGGGCCTTTCCTGGCCTCTTAGGGTGCCAAGCCTCAGCTGCTCTTCATGCTTTCATGCTTCCAACACCAGAACTATGCAGAAGATTTTTTTTTTTTTTGGGTCTTTTTGAGACAGGGTCTCCCTCTAGCCCCAGCCCTGAGGAAATATTTCCCAGAAGATTTTGCCACAGTGATGCTGGTCTTTTGTTACTTACAGGTGATTTGTCAGTCCCAGCTAACCGGCATCAATTGTCCCAGTAAAGCAAAGGTTTCACTTTAGTGGTTCTAGTCTCTTCTTAATCACAGCTGATTTTTCAGCTCCAGCCAACCAGAAGTCACAGATTTTCAAGTCAAGATATCACACAAACAGCCCTGATAGTCTCTGCTTCCCTTTGAAGCTTCACAAGCCAGGCCTCTATCATCTACAACTCTTTCAGCATAGCTGTTCCAAGTTCCACAGCAACAAACTCTAAGCACTCAATGGTTTTTCCAGCTCAAAGTTCCAACACTTCCACAATCCTCCTAAAAACACCAAGGTCAGATTTTTCACAGCAATGTCCCACTCTTTGGTACCAATTTTTGTTCTAGTTTGTTTCTCCATTGCAGTGACAAAACACTCTGACCAATACCACCTTGGGGAGTGTCCTAGTTTGTTCTTCATTGCTGTGACAAAACACTCTGACCAGTACCAACTTGGGGAGTGTCCTAGTTTGTTCTTCATTGCTGTGACAAAACACTCTGACCAGTACCAACTTGGGGAGGAAAGGGTTTATTTGTCTTACATCTCCCAGGTTGCACACAGTTCATCAGGGAGCCCAAGGTAGGAACTCAGGGCAGGAACCTGGAGGCAGGAGCTGGAGCACAGGCCATGGAGGAATGCTGCTTACAGACTTGCTCCCTTGGCCCCTGTTCAGCCTGCTTTCTTATGCAACACAGGCCCACCTGCCCAGGG